AGTAGTTACACGTTACATGTATTTACTATAGTAGTAACAGTAAATTATGCATAATTACAAGTAACTAACCATAAAACCAAGCTCTAACCCAAACCTTAACCCTATACTAAGTACATGTAGTTAATTAATATTACTCGATACTTATTTGTGTAATTACACTGTAACAACATCACCTTAAAATAAAGGGTTACACTTTATTTTAAGGTGCCATTATGACAGTGTAATTATATATTAAAGTACTGAGTAATATTAAGCAACTACATGTACTTACTATAGGGTTAGGGTAGGATTAGGATTTGGTTGAGGGTTAGTTGCGTGTAATTATGCATAATTTACAGTTATTACTATGGTAAGTATTATGTAACGAGGACACTGTCAAATAAAGTGTTACCAAATAAAGTGTAGTTTCTTTTTTTGAAGCAAAATTGAGGTTACGGTGAGGCACTTAAATGGGGTCAAATTTTTTGAAGATTTGAATGCAGAAATGTGAAGCAAATGATTTTTATAAAATTAGTTCTTCTATTTAAACTTCTGTATTATTTGAGCTGTAAAGTTATTTGTGTCAGTTTAAGCAATTCTGGTAAAACTTTACAATAATGTTTCATTAGTAACATTAGTTAACTACTGTACATTAGTTAACATGAACTAATAATGAACTGCACTTCTACAGCACTTAGTTCATGCTAATTTCAACATTTACTAATACATTATTAAAAACAAACGTTGTGTTTGTTAGGATTAGTTAATGCATGTGAACATGAAGAAACAATGAACAGCTGGATTTTTATTATCTAACATTAACAAATACAGTAACAAATGTGTTAGTTCATGTTAGATAATACATTAACTAATGTTAACAAATGAAACCTTATTGTAAAGTGTAACCGTGATTTTTTCACATTAAAATCATGTTAATGTAAATATTGTTTATGTCATCTGACAAAACTATTGAAAACGTGAGTATTTTAATGTTTATTTTAATGTAAACCCAGATTTTTGTTTGCTTTTTTAAGAAAAGGATGTTATCATTTTTGTAGCAATCGCCATTATGCCACAAGTGCTGTCAATGAAACATGTGTTCACTTTTATTGAACCGCACAGCACTATAATTCTAATAGAAAAAGTACTTCCTGACTAAAACGATGTCAACAAACGGCTGCACGCCACTTTTCCGAAGCACTTCTGACACCCCTCTCGGGCTACTGTTTTTCTGAGCCATGTGTTGCGTCTATAACCTCCCTCCATAACCCAACCCCCAGCCCTTATGCCCCACATACAAACACAAACTCCACAAGTTTCCCCCCAAAAAGCAAAAGCCAGTACTCTAAACTCATAAACACCCCCCTGCACACACAGCCAGGCAGCCCCCATCTGGCGGTCCCCTGGCCCTGCCCCCGCCGGGGTGGAGCTGAGGTCAGGGATCAGGCAGACGTTGGCCCTTTGCTCAACAGCTGCCCGTCTTCACAAGCCAGGAGGAAGTGGCAGCCGCCACTGCAGCAGCAGCACATCTGCTCTAATGAGTGTGTCAAAGCCACTAATGCACTGATACACAGACACACACACAGATCTGGCCCTCCCCTGACCTTCTCTTCACACACTCAACACACCATCAGACCAGAATGGAACCCTTTGTGTGACAGTGTGTTTGTGTGCGGTGTTTGGTGAAAGGTTCAGAGCTGTGTTGTGTAATGAGTCAGCTGTGACAAGAGGAAGAACCACAAAGACATTTAAATTCATGAAAACACACATAAACACACACACACAGACTCTCTGATCTATCTATTTTTAATATTTTATATATTGTATAAAACAATATAGCACATAGGCCTATCTATTGATTTATATATATATATATATATATACATATATATTTTTTTTTCACAATGTATAGTTTTGAAATTATTTAGGTATTTTTATTTACTTGTATTTTTTATGTTTGTTATATTTATACATATAAACAACGAAAGGCTGTATTTTTTATTAACTATCGTTAACAAAGATGAATAAATACAGTAACAAATGTATTCCTCATTGTTATTTCATGTTTAACAAATGAAACCTTATTGTAAAGTTACCAAACAATTATTTTCTTAGCGTGAAGACCCTGCAAACTACAAGAAATACTGTTTTTTTCTGTACACAAAAAACCTTTTAATACAATTAACAATAGTTTTTAAAGATTGTTTCGTGTGAAAGCCTTCTTGTTGTTGCCAGTTAATAAATCAGTCAAATCAAATAAAAAATGAATTTTTTTCTTTCTTTCTGTTACACACTGGCATTCTTTGAACATCATATTTGTTTAAGGAAATAAAATACAAAAAAGTATACATTATTTAATATTTTAATACATTATAATGCATATATTAACTTAATAATATACTGGATTTTTTGCGACATCGTTGTGACTAAATATTAACAATAACACTATAATGATCAAATTAAAAGATACAACACTAAATCGAAATATTTTTTAAATGATTATATCAAAACTCAACACCCATAATATATAATAATCAGCATCAAAAATAAGATCTAAACGATAATCCGGTTAGGCTGATATGGTTAATAGAAATGAGTGCACTGAATATCTAATGAGTGCAGGAAGACTCCTTCATTTTCCAGAGTGTACTGTACAGTACGAACGAGATCTCATAATTCTCACCACAGTCGTCACCTCCTACTACATCGCACATATGTGTACATTTATATCCAGACACCTTCACCAGCCAAACAAGCCAACACACATACCTCTAACATATAGATCTAGATGTGAAAGCAAAACATTTCTGATCCAATATCTTCCGCATACAACTTGAAGATAGCCTACTTTAATTATCCATACAGCACGCTTTATTTTTCAAGCAGACCTTTCTAAAGCAATAGCCAATAAAGAGTACTAACATGAAGAGATAATTATGAAAACAAATTGCTTGACCTTTTTAAAAAGGTGAAAAGGGAAAAGTGGTGACCAAAATAAAATGACCTAAAAACGAGCACCTAAAAATATACTTTCCCATATCTAATGTGCAGTGCAACCTAATTTTTTGTGCTACTAAAAACGTTTAAATTCAAGTTTTAATCAACAAACAGCTTACAGCTAAATTTAATCTCAACTAGGCCTCGCATATGATCACCTTCAATTAACACTTAAAAAAATAAAGGGAGGAAATAGTCTAAGAACACAGTATTTTCTTCTTAGAGTAATTCTATAAATCACACGTTATTGTCAAACGTAATTACAGAGCTGTTTTTCGTTAAAATCAGATGATTGGCACAAGACTAAAATTGTCACCTTTCAACGCCTATTTCAAGGTAAATGTCTCCCTCTAGTGGCGAGACGTTGAGCCTTAAATTTCCATGGCACTGGAAATGGCAACACCTACAAATCTACCTCAACATATCTTCCTCAGCTGAAAGGCGTCATTTTCCTGTTATCAAAGCTGCTTTGAAACAATCTTTATTGTATAAAGTGCTATATAAATAAAGGTGACTCGACTCGTTATCGATTACAATACTACAAAATACCGCTAAAAAATAAGCAAACACAAAAAGGAAAATGTTTCTGACTAGATTACTTTATTAACTGAAGTGTCATCAATTGTCTGCCAAGATAAATTACAAAGTGAGTGAGTTTTTGAGCAAATCCCACTAGATGAACATGCACGCCCATCAGTATCCATCAACAGCAAAGTGTACAGTAACAGTAAATTCAAGAGAATATGGCTTTGTGTTCTGTATATACATACATACATACATGAGAATCCAATCAGCAGCAATACAACACAGAATTCAAGGGTTTCAAAAACAGAAAAACATGTTTATTTGCAAACATACAGTTGTTGAATGTTTCAGCTGTCCTATTCTCCCACCGGCTAGATTTGGGTTGTTCAGAGGAAATGTGACAATACAAGATAACTGATGTGAAATAGACGCTAGTGAACAATAAACCGGTTATATCATTTATTCAGCAGCTGTGAGCAACAGAAAATGCAAAGGATCAAACCATCATCAATCTGAAAAAGAAAGAGTTATCATTCTGGGTTATTTACAAAGGCTCTTTATATCACAGCATCCATTAAGATACTTCTTTGGATGCTTGTACACTTTTGGCAAATGGCAATGACACTAATGCCCTCGAAAAGCTAAAATATTGAAGTGAATTAAAATCCATAAAAGCTCAATCGGAGTAGTTTTCAAGTTTCATTGTTCATCTGTATTAACAAGGCACACTTTATCCTATATTACTTGTTTATTGGAAGGTGCAGTACTGAAGGTGAGACGAAACAGAATAAAGAAGCAAATCTGGGTTTATGAAACAACCCAGTCATATTTAAACAGACAAGCTCTAGTGACTCTTACATTCGACTGTTTGGAACACCTCTAACATTTAAAGGTTCTATAAATGTACTACTGGAGGTCAGAAAACCAGATGACCTCCTGCAGCAGCTAGCGACCATAGAAGAAGTTTAATCATCAGTGCGTTTTACTGGCTAAACAGAATTGTACGTCCTGAGGTGGCGTCTGAATGCACCTAAATGTCTATAATTTGACCATCCATAATAAAAGGCATCAGTATCCCGATATCTCAGTACTGATCATTAAAGTGGCTTTAATATGCTTGTGTCATAAAGTTGTACAGTTGAACAATAAACATCTGAGGACTGTGCAAACGTTTACATACATTCAATGGAATCAAGAGCCTAGCCTGTATAATAGTATGCTTAAACTCTTGCATGTTTCTGTATCTTGAGGCACATTATAATTATATTGTTTGTTATTATATACTAATTTTTGGAGCAAATTAAAACAGATTCAAATTCGAAAACGTCTCAATAAAACATTTCACTTCTACTGCTACTACAAATTTCGGAATTGTGAAATCACATGAGTCACAAAGATTCACTTTTATGCATCTGGTAAAGAAACATTTAAACTGTCTTTTAAAAACTGTACGTTCAAATGAAGTTGACTAGAACAAGTCAATCATACAGTTCGGACAAAATGTGGTAATACACATCGCATAACCATTTTTGTATGATAAAAGAAGCAAAAACATTAAATATGTTTAAGTACTTGTTTTACCTGTGTGAAAAATGTATATATAACAACTTCTGATGCCTGACTGTTTGAAGTAGTAGCACATGTACAGCGTATGAACTTAAGATGGAGATACTGAGCTTACGAGAGCTCGAAATACCAGAGGAGAACAGATGAGAAACAGTTACATGATGCCAAGATCTTGCATGATACCAAAATATAGGGAAATATTCGATTTAAACGGGCTGTAAGGCAACTTCCCGTCTCCGGCACCGAGTCCCCGAGTCCAGAGCATAATCCAGCCAGTGCTACATGCAGGCCAAGCAGCCTCTTAAAAGAGCTGGATCATTGATTCCCTTGACTTCCCAACACCAATCCACTTCACTGAAGAAAACATGGAGGAAGTCATATGGATTACTGCAGTAAAACAACCGCATTGCATTGTACACATTCATACTTTACAGTACTTTTAAATGATAACACTGTGCTAAAAATGGGAAAAATGTTCCTTTCCTTTTTTGAAAAGTTTCACACACAGACAACAAAGCTGTCAAAAGGGTCCCCGTTCACACGGATTGCAAAAACTTCTAAAACGCTGTATTATGCAAGCCAGGCCATTTTGTTGTTTTGGTTGTCAAGTACTCACACATACCTATAGACTGAACGCGTAATACGCATGCGCGTGACGTCATCGTTTTCACAAATTCACGTTTTTGTAGTTTACACGAACACGATAACGGTATAGTTTTCAAAAACATGCACTTTGAAACACATTTTCAGAAGTTTGCCTTTTCAGGCCCCACGTATAATGGCCAAAAAGCACACAAAAAAAGTCGTTTATAGTGGAAAACTGTCGTGTAAACTTTTCTAGAACCCTTTTTTTTAATACTTCGGTGACTTTTTCAAAATTCTTCACACAGAGAGCATAACAGCAGTCTATGTGAGCTAAACTGTAGATTATTTATCATTGCTTTGGCACAAAATGCTTTTAATGACCACATCTTTCAAATGACATGAATTGTTTTACAATTACATTGAACCATCAGCAAAACTACAGTCCAATTTTCACGTTTACATTCTCTTTTCAAAACAGTTAAACTAAAGATCAAAACCTAACATAATACAAAACTGAATAAGACAAAAATGTGCAACATTTCTATAGTAAAACCATCCTAAAATATAGTATATTCCAAATTTGCATCAGTGATCATTATTATTTTTATTTTTTATATCTGTTTTATTGATCAATCTGTTTTGTATAAGCACTATATATAATGGTGACTTGACTGGTTGATAGTGTTTTAGGGCGTTTTCACACCTGTAGATCATTTACTTTGTTCCGAAACAAGGATTAAAATTGTTACAATTTCTTCTTGGTTCGGTTTGCTTTCACAAGGCAACATGGACCAAAAATTAGTTAATACGAGTCAAGTACGAGTAAACTCTCCTCTCATTGGTCAGCTTTGACCCACTTATGTTCCAGGATTCGGCTCATAGCGGTCATCAGTCAGGATGGATAGACGACAGTTGACTGTGGCTTTCTTTTTAGCTGTCATTATATTACTTTATCATTTTTAGCAAGAATCAAGGCTTCATCTGTATTTGTATGTGTTTTGGACAGTTGTTCTGAAATATGTTCGCCGACCAAATTTCAATAAGGCATTTCACATCGTCTTTGCTCCAGGTTAACCCACGATTCATTTTGAGAGGCATTAGAAAAACAAACATTGCTGCTTTTCATGCAACATATATCCCATCATGTATTGTGATACGGCCTGGTTCGTTTAGCCAGGGAAAACCCATAGACAGTATAAGAAGTGGACAGAGCCATCTCATTGGAACTCAGTTGAGACAGTTGAAGCCCATTTTTAGCGATTTTTGAGCACTTCCGTTCCTGACGCGCAGACTCAAACCGACTCAAACTAAGCTTGATGACGTGAGCAACCTGTCTGACAGACGCAAATCTTCTAGTAGCTGTGCGTGAAAATTGCCAACGTTAACCTTGCAGAGACGGGGAACTTGAGCAAAGAGTTCTTTGGCGTGAGTGAGCAGGAGTAAGTATTCCGTTGCTTTTATGGACTCATTATCTATGGGCTTCTCCCTTGACGGGACGTCCCCCCGATTGCCTGCGAGCTTCTCCTCCTGTCTGTACGGTAATTTCTGTACAGCGCGACAGAGAGTCGAGTGGTTATGACGCAATCGTTAGCCTATTTTTACAAAATCTGTTTCTACGGGGCCATAATGTAACATAGAAGGTAATGGAGCCCTTTATACATTGTCGTGTTTCTTTAGAAATAAATAATGGACAAATGGAGTCTTTAAACGCCTCAGATGTAAAGTTATTCGCTGTCAAAGTGACGCCAAAATGAATGGGAGTCAATGGAAATGCTAACGCAAGTGAAGTTCTGCTACAACATGGCGGCACCCGGCCGGCTTCAACTTCCGGTCGATGGATTACCCCCTTGGGAATACCCAGACAACTTCCGGCAAATTTAGATTTGCTCTGAAAGTTAGTCTGGCTAAGAGCTCATTCAAACCCATTTCCAATCCGTCGAAATCGAGGGACCAATCAGAAACTATGGGGCGGGCTTTACACGATGACGACAGCGCTGGGATTTTGAAGCAGATTTTGTAGCCTACATTACAAAGATGGATGCCGCCGTCGAACATCACTCGTTCGAATCAGCTATCGCGTCTGTTTTAAGCGATTTGAACGTTTCCTTTTTGTTAAAAACCGACCAAAGAACAACACTTGGAGATGTTTCTCCGCCGCTCTGCATACGTCATCTCCTTCATCACTCTGATTGGTTTTAGGTCTATCCGCGACGTCCGTTGGTGACGCCCCTCTGGAAATGATTTGTCTATGACGCTTTGCCAGACCATAACTCAGTTACAACTGAGAAGAGAATGGTCTGGTTTTAACCAGGCTATGGTTCGTTGGTCCTTTGGGTCGGATTGCTTTCTCACCACAAGTGAACCGCTCCAGAGTTCGTTTGCAATAATGCTGAGACCGAGCGCGATTGCTATGTTCAAATATGCCTAAACGAACCGAAAAACGCATCATGTTCCGAAACAAATGCTCCGAATGAGCCAGGTGTGAAAACCCCCTTAGATCAGTGAGTGTGTTCGTTGGGTGACAATCTTTGCTAGAGTTATGGAAAAATTACTTGATTTGAGACACTGTATATCAAGTGTTTTAGAAGTTTTAGTGCATTTTGAATGTGAAATTAACTGCAGTGCCAAGCTGAAGGTTGGTAAGGAGAATGTGTGAAGAGTTTAAAAAAAAGTGACTCATGTACTGAGAAATGTGTCCTAGCGATGGTAAAAGTCTTACCAGGCACACCCAACTGATCTTCGATGTAGCAGACGTATTTTTTTGCATTTTCTGGAAGCTCATCAAAGGTCCGGACAGCAGACGTGTCTGTATTCCAGCCTGGCAGAGTCTCATACTGCACTTCAACCTTCTGTAGCACTTCTTGGTTTGCTGGGGAAAATGTATGATATTTAACTACACTAGATTTGATCAAATCTATATGTGATGTGAAAAATGTGCTGCTTACCTGGGAAATGTGGGATGGTTTCACCATCTAATTTGTATGCCACACAAACTTTGATCTCAGGAAGCATATCTAAGATGTCTAGTTTGGTGAGAGCTATGCTAGAAGGGCACATGGAGAGATGCATATAAGAAAACTATATTTTATAGAACACAAATAAAAAAAAAAAAACCAAAGGAGACATCACTGAACACTCACGCTGTGAAGCCATTAATCATGTGGGCATATTTGATAAGCACCAGATCCAGCCAACCACATCTCCTTTTGCGACCTGTGGTCACGCCCACTTCCTTGCCTCTCGTCTGCAAGAGCTCTCCAGTTTCCTACGAACAAGTACAGTATGACTAAAGTGCAACATTTAATTATTTTGTGTATTTCTCTGTACAGATATCTGAAAATGTATAATAAAGAAGTTAAACGGTCAAGCTTTTTATAGGTTCCATTAGTTAACGCTAGTTATTGCATTAACTAATATTAACTAACAATGAGCAATACATTTTTTTTTTTACAGTATTTATTATCTTTGTTAGCATTAATTAATAACAATACAACTGTTCATTGTTAGTTCGTGTTAGCTTAGGTCCATTAAATAATGTTAAAAGATAAAATTTGATTTTAATAATGTATTAGTAAATGTTGAAATTAAAAATAACTGAGATTAAGTAAATGTTATAGAAGTTTTCTTTCAATGTTAGTTTATGTTAACTAATGTAAACAAATGGAACCTTATTTTAAGCTGTTACCCATTTTAATAATTTTGTCATTTCAATTTCAGATTTTGTTTTTAGGGTGACCCTGTAACATTCTTTTCAGTGACTACAGAAGAAAAATGTATTTAAAGTCCTATTTATTAATGTGCACTGTCTCTGCTAAATACACAAAAAGCTATATGCAAAAATAATAAAAATGTTAAAATGCTAAATTGATCTACTGTATTGACAGAATTATTTGACAGTTTGAATTATGAAGTCTACAAAACTGTTCACCCCACCCTTAAACCTAACCATACCACCAGTCATGTCCCTAACCTCACCCATAATCCACCACAATGGCAGCTAAAGTGATTTGCAATGCAAAATAAATACATTGTACCCAACAGTTAATTTTTTGCAATGTAAGTGCATAGTAAAGACACATAATATAAAGTCGTATATTTAATTAGAGAGAAAAAGTAACTAAAAACAAGACCATTTAGACTTTTCCATGTCTATCCCATGGCTTTATGATTTTATTCATTTCCATTGTAGAATCTTAATATTTCTGGGTTGTCCATGACCTTGTGAACCCTGCTATTATTTATAAGCACATATTAAGTCATTGTAATGAAATGTAATAAGGAACAGGATATCATAAATGTCAGTCACACTTTAGTTTGGGGAACACATTCATTATTAACTACGGCTTTTGCCCTAAATGAACTCCTTATTTACTGCTTAATAGTTAGTAAGTTAGTTGTTGTAGGGGTTAAGTTTAGGTATGAAGTAGGTACAAAAGAAGTAGAATATGGTCATGCAGAATAATGCATTAATATGTGCTTTATAAGTACTAATAAACAGTCAATACGCAAGCTAATAAGCAACTAATTAATGGCGAGAATTGGTCCCCAAACTAAAGTGTTACCTAAATTTCTCATACATAATATATTCATTGTCATGTAGCGTTATAGATTACTGACTGCTGTTCCTCCGGACTCATTATTCCTGTTTAAAACTTTAAAACAAGAATCGTGCTCGAGTAAAGTCAGAAAAACACTCATAACACTTGAATGCAAGGGGATATGAACAGTAGTGAGAGCTCATTAAGTATCCGAACACTGCCAGAAATGAAAGAGCTGCTTACGTTGCTCTGTTCAGTAGGGAAAGCCCCAATCCCAACTCTCGTGGTGTAGGCTTTGACTACTCCATAGACTTCACCCACGTTCTGGGGTGGCATGCCCAGACCCGTACACACCCCTCCCACAGTGCAGTTTGAGGAAGTCACGAAAGGATATGTCCCTAAAAAAAAGAGCATCACATCAATGCTGTGTGTCAGTGAAATGGGTAACACTTTATTTCGATGGTCCACTTTAGACATTCTACTAACTATAAGTAACTGTACAACTACATGTCATACATTAGGATAAAAACATTAGGAACTATAATAAAAAATGTTTGACATGGTGAAGAATAAATATAAGCAAAGTTAAATGTATTATAATAAATTATTAAAATAATATAAAATAAAATACAAGGAGTGAATCTTACAACAGGGAATCAGCTGGTTAGCAAATTGCATAATCTTACGTTACACATGGCTGTGTGTTTCGGTGTATCCATTACTCACCAAAGTCAATGTCCAGCAAGGCAGCATTGGCACCTTCCACCAGGATCTTTTTTGGAGGTCCATGTAGCGCCTCATACATGAAGAAGACTCCATCTCTCACCATGTGCTTTATCCTATCTACATATGTCTGGAAAAAAAAGTCAATGTCAGAAAGAGTGCCATAACCGATATGGAACTGGTGTGAACTGGTATGACATCTAAGCTTCTCACCTTGAGTTTCGCAAGTTCCCCATCCACATCGATCTCCAGTGAAGGGTACATAGACTTATACTGCGAGGCCAAATTTTTAAATCTGTGAAAAGAGACATGAGACCGCTCAGTTTACACTGTGATAGGCTAGTAGCGTGGTTTCTGGTATGGATTAAGAACTGGATTAAGTGTTTTTACAGTGGGTGAGGTTTAACACCATCTATGGAATGTGACATGAATGGGTAAAATAGTTGAGTTAAGTTCAGTTGACAGGTGAGCACACCCTTACCTCTCTGAGAAATCCTTAAAGTCAGCCAGAAGGTCACATATCCTCAGGCCACTGCGAGCTGCTTTTGCTGAATACACGGGGCCGATTCCCTTCTTAGTTGTTCCCAAACTAGATGGTGAAACAAAAACAAGGTGAGACTCATGAGTGATATTCATGTGCATTAGATAGATAAGACTCTCTTTCCATGTTGGGTGTATGCGAATGCTTTAAAACAGGGGTCTGCGACCTTTTCAGGGACCCCTAAGTAGATTGAGACACAGAGCAGGGACACTCTGTTACATTCAGGGTTTCTGCAGGTTTTATGAAGGTAAATTTAAGACATTTTAAGACCAAAAAAAAAAAAAATGAAGGGATAAATTGAAGGGAACACAATACGTCAATATGTTCTCTAAGTATAAGTGTCTAGGGAGAAACACAATGAGGTGTATTAGCAACACTTCAGAGTTTGAAAATACGACTTCCATCAGATATCGATTTCTTTTTAATTCATTTTACAAAAAAAAAAGTCTTAAATCAAGACATTTACTTGAAATGCAAAATGACTAATATGCTAAATAAAATATGAAGTCTTGTTTTCTGTGAAACTGATCAAAATGAAATGAAGTTTAATTAATGTTAATGTTAAATTGAGATTAAAACAAGAACAAATATCTGCCAGTGGGCTGAGAAAAAAAATCAACTTAATTCAAATTCATTCGTTTTCAACACAATGAAAGATATTTGTTCTTGTTTTAAGCATGACTTAATTTTGTTCAACTTTAAGACTTTTTCATTTGCATCTCAAGTAAATGCATTTTGATTTAAAACATTTTGACGTTAAAATATTTATACTGGAAAACAGGAAAAGATGACATTTCTGCAATGCATGCAGCATTTAATGCCATAAATTTATGAATTTAAGACTTTCTGCTCTGATTTAAGATCTTTACTTTGTGTAAGGGCAAATTAAGACTTTTTAGGACCCACAGAAACACTGATATTTATAAAAGTGAGTATATTTTATTTACATACATTACAATTCAAATATTCGGGGTAGAAATGTATATTCTTATTCAACAAGAATGCATTAAATTGATTAAAAAAAGTGACAGTTTTCTAAATCAATTTTTTTTTTTTTTTTTTTACAAATTTCTATTTCAAATAAATGTTCTTTTGAACTTTCTATTTATCAAATAATCCTAAAAAAAAAAAACAATCACGGTTTCCAGAAAAATATTAAGCACAAATTTTACAACTTTAATATATTAATGATAAAGTTTTCAACATTGATAATAAGAAGAAATGTTTCTTGAGCAGAAAATCAGCATATTAGGGTGATTTATGAAGCATCATGTGACACTGAAAACAGGAGTAATGATGCTGAAAATCCAGCTTTGCCATCACAGGAATACCTTACTAATCTCATAAAATTTCACAATATTACTGTTTTTACTTTATTTTTATTTCAAAAGGTAACAGTTTTTCTAAAGGGTTCTCTTCATGTTAACAAATTGAATGTAAGAATAAGAGAATATTTTCTTCTTATGATTCTTGCATTAGAAGACACTGAGTGAATTATTATTGATGTACATAATCATTTACACTACATTTTAATTTAAGTCTACATGTTTTAATGTAAGAGGGACTATGAAATATTCAGCTTCTTTACTTAGCTTTGATTGAAGTTAACTTGTGTTTGTCAGGGAAAATCCACATTAACTAATCACATTGATTTAAATTTAGCCAAAATTATATTTAATATTAAATATTAGATGGTATTAAGATTGAAAAATATTTTCTTTTAACTTTGCAAGACATAATTATTTATAACTATATATCATTTATTTCACATAAAAAAAAACCTCTAAGATAGGAACGTGCCTGTATTATCCAAGTCTAGAACATCTCATTTGTCCATTATAAAACAAATGCAAAAATACAGATAAACCAGTCAGCAACTAAGATCAACCAGAGAAGTTAGAAAAGCCTCTACTACATCTCAAAGCAGTTTTTCTTTTGTTATGAACTCTTGTCATAACATGTTGCTAGCGTGTTGTATGCGTGTGCATAAAGCAGGGTTTTTACTTTTTGCCAGCTTGCTGTTGCCTCTCCTGTTCCTGGACTCCATCCACAGCTTGATGGAAATCAAACACTAGAGGCAGGAGAGTGTATAAATTACAGTGAGACAGAGCACTACTGTGCTGGAACTCATCTCTCGGAGCTCTGAACCCAACATGCCAAAGCAGGTCACCATAACAACACTTGTGTTGACTACAATGGATCCCAGTGTCCTTTCATTATAACGGCTCCTGCTGAGAGTCTTGAATTACAACAATACACTAAAGGCATAATAATTCAAACACCATTAATTTCACTGGATATGCTATTCTATTAAGTTGTAAAGGACTCTTTGATTATGTGACATTTGAGAGCGGTATCTGCCCACTTCAAATCCCAAAAACTAAAAACAAAATAACAAACATTAGAAAAAGCAGGACACAAAAATGTATTGAAGAATCAAATACAATTTCAACGCATTAATTCGAGAATTTTAGATAGCTAGCTAGATTTGCAGTTCCTGAAGGAAATGCCAGTGTTTGCAGGGCATCAAAAGAACGGTGTTAAAGATTTGGGTTTAGCTTTAGGCTTTCATTACATCTTTTTTTTTCCCCCAGAAATATTGCACAGTGCAAAGTGTGTTATAAATGGTTTGTATATGTAAAGAAGACAAATATTATGACAATCTCATGGACATCAGTTACACTTTGAATGTGGAGATAAATGGTGGCTTTCAAAATGTAATCTTAAATTTCTTGATCAAGTACAACGTTTTTGTTGTTGTAAAAAAAATGTCAAAATCCAAAACCCCCAATGTACTTCATGTCCATAAACGCATTCATTTGGCTTACATACACTACCATTCAGATTGATATTTTCTATTCATCAAAGTACACTCTCAGAAGAAAAGGTACAAAAGATGTCACTGAGGCACATTTGAAATAGAAAACCGTTATTTTAAATTGCAATCAATTTCACAATATTACAGTTTTCACTGTATTTTGAGCAAATAAAGGCAGCCAATGAACATAAGTATGGAGCCCCTAAAGGAACATGGTGGTGGGGCGGGGGAAATGAGATGGGAGCATAATAAGTCAATGCTTTTGTGTTTTCTCGCAAATGTTAGCGTTTCCCAGAGAAAAGCAAAAGATTTTGTGAGGGGACCCAAAGTTTCTTGGGGGAATGCAAGAGCATTGTCATTTTTTCCCCTCCCATCTCACCATGTCCCTTTAGGGGCTTTGTACACAAGAGAATTCTTTCAAAAAACAAACTTTTGAATGGTAGTGCAAGTGTATTCAGCACATATTTAAAAATAACTATGAATACAAAATAATCAAATCATATTTTGACCAAAGTGCATGATCACATTATTTAGTAATAATGACACTGTAATCAAATCAAATTGTTTACAACCCTACAAAGCCACATTTTGCCTGTAGCTCTGAATGTAATTCAGGGATCTGATAGTGTTTATAATATATCATGAGAGCCATCAGCCTACCGATGTGTGCACGATCAGAGATGATGAGCCTTTTCTCCCAGCCTTCCAGACCTGCGGGCAAAATCACTGTTAGACTCCTGTCAGTACTCACTGAAACTCAAATATAAAGCACAAGGGCACAAACAGATAAGCACAAACCTTTTCCTTTCCGCAAATTCTTCTCAGCCTCCTCGAATAGGCCAGGCAGGTGAATGACTACACCATTACCTGTAATCAAATGACCAGCTGTCAGTCACACGGTCCAATATCAGGGCTTTCACACTACACTTAACCCTGAGTTAACAGCATCTTTACCCTGGGAAAAAGGCCAATTTTAACCCCGGAGTGTTAAATAATGTGGTGCAAGAACGTTACAGTGAGTTGTTAAGCAACAGACAACTTACCTCATTAATATTCACGCACAGAAACTTGTTTCTTGTGTCATGCTGTGTTCAGTTTCAGTGGCAAAACTTCCACAGATGGACATGCAATTATTGTCCAATGAACATTATTAACTTTGTATATATGCAAATAAGAACATTTACCCTTACAAAGGTGGAACAGTTTACCTGTCTCCTGGCTGTGTCGAATTAGTGTTTTAAAAAATGAACGTTCAGCCTTTAGCCACTACAATTGTTACCTAATTCAATTATTGTTGTAATGTTGCTCTCTTGGTTTTGTTATTACACTGTATAATATAGAAAATTTATGTAATAAAACATTAGCAGGCTTTAAAATTGTACAGTGTGAAATCTTAAAACCTGGAACAAGAGGTAAGGAATACTGGTAAGAAATATTAAACCTGTACGAGCTGAGTATGCTTGCATTAAGTGGTAAAGTGCTTTGTACTAGGAACATCAAGCATTTCCTATAGATCATACTAATATACAGCGCTGACATATGAATCAGAAGGCCAGAACACAATGGTGGCCATTAGCAAAATTGGATCTTTGCAAATAAACTGCATTGAATGCACTCAGCTATATTAGTCTGGATAAGCTGGCCAGCATCCAGACACTCTAACAGGAGAGGGTGGCATCCTCAAAGTAGGGACCACCAATACAGATCTGTATGCTGTACTGGTTGCATACAAGCCACACTACACAAAAAGAGGGGGGTAATTTAACATACTCACCAATGAAGGCAGTGACCTTAGGGTTGATAATCCCGCTGGGTAGAAGGTGGAAATCATATTCCACTGAATCAACCACAACCGTGTGTCCTGCATTGTTGCCCCCCTACAGGAGAGAAGAACACAAAGACTGTTCAATCCTTGAGAAACAATGATACAAATTTGGGATAGTTCACCCCTAAAATTTAAGTTCTGTAATCAAACCCTCATGTCATTCCAGGACACAATCATGACTTTATTTCTTCTGTAGAACATAAAATATATTTTAAGAAATGCCTCAATGTTTTGTCCATACAATGGAAATCAATGCACTTCAATATTTTTTTTGGTACCTCAAAGTTATTTTGTACCACAAAAGAAAGCAAGCTTTTGGTTGAACTATCCATAGCTAACATCAAGCATTCCTATGGTATGGTACAGACATGCTTAGACAAGCAGTTGTGAATGGAAAATTTCAGCATGTAAACACTGATTTTGGTTGTCAGGTGTGGATTTAATGTGAGAATAGCTCTACTGCTCCATTAGACAACATACAAGAAGGAATTAAGACACACATTCCAGTTCTGCGGAGTTTCAATGGTTTCATTTGAATGGTCATTACTAGATTCCGTCCTTGTTGAACTTGACACATGACTAAAGAGCAGGGAAACCATAGATTACAAAGCAACCTTGGAACGCCAACTGCTGTTACCATCCTTAAGAATCATCAAGAGTCCTCACATGTGTCGGTTTTCAACATGGCGTCAATCAGCTCTGACCTCATGCCAAGTCTGAGGGAGTACCCACAAAGTGTGCTCAATAAATCAGTCTTTAATCCAGCAAGGAACAGTGCAGAGCTATTTCCGGGCAGGTCTCGTTTGACCAGTTTAGTAGTGCATGTGTGTGGATGCCTCTCCTTTTTTAGATCCATTTACGATGTTCTCATACCCATGGTGACCAAAAGCGTTGCTTGCTTTAACATTACTATTATGGACTCCTATTACAAGTTTGCTTTTAAATCAAAGGGCCCAGCCTGGGAGATTTAAGCACAGATTGAACCGATACATCATATTGTTATTAGCAGCATGCTGACACTTTATGTAAGGAATGTGGTGTTTCTGTAAGCAAAATACTCACAGCATAGTACTAAAGGATTAATCTGTTCTATATTGTAAAAAGTGTAATAAACAGGTTTAACAGTTATTTAGGCAATTAGAGTGAACAAACATTCGCAATCCATTTTGTTTTCATAATTTCCAAGTGGAATATAATTTAATGAGGAAAGAACATGTAGGCCGGGATTTGACTCCATTGGGAAGAGAATGAATTGTGAAAACTGATCCCTATACAGTTTGGTAACCTCAGCAAATATATTTTTATTTTTTTCTTTGGAATATTCTGCACAATAAACCAGTGCACATTGTATAAAGATAATAAATAGGATCAATTCTGATTTCAGGTTGACTTTAAAGCAAATTTGTATCCACACAACACCGTATTATAAGATGTGGCTCCAAGGGAAAATACTTACAGTATAGTTTCTCTTTCAGAGAAAACTCAGAGTCAGTAACATGGAAAATTACTTTCATATGATGTTTGTCACATTTGCTCTCATGACTGTCTTTTAGGCTGTTGGATGACATCCAGTGTTCCATTCCAAACCTAGCAGACTAAAAGTGGCTAGAATGAGTGATCTGCTCCAATGTCTGTTTAAAGAGGAACAAGGGGTTGAGTAAGTAATACAGGGATTACTAGCAGAGTTATCACTTTATCACCCACAATGACACAGTGCACCAGGCGTTCCATCAGCATTAAAAATGCAGTTGAAAAAGTACAGAACCAAAAACTAGGCTAGTTTGATTGAATATTGTTTTGTATGTTGACTCTGGTGAGATTATAATGTTGCGTTCTATCTGGCTTGGTTTGTTTTGTGTGGGAGTATACAGAGAGTATTGTATGATTACATTTTTATCAGCCGATTCATTTCTGGTAGTTCAAACAAGAAAAATCAGCAAGAGACTAGAGTATGTAAAAAAAAAAAGTATTTAGGGCCTAATTGATTAACACTAGGTTTAAATCGGCAGCATAATTATCAGCAGGCAGCATACTTGGACTCACTGATAAAAACAGCTGCACATTACACAGTTAACATGCTTGACCACCACAACACTCACTGCAGTCAAGAGATCTCCACAGAGACTGAATTATCGAGCAGACCCCAAGGATTCAGACATGCCTGTGATTTATGTTTAAAATAATTTAAGACTCTGAAGTTAAAACAATAAGTGGCTGATATATTGTCTGAAACAAATTGTGTCAATTACAGAGTCAATACAGCAAATCTTATCGATATATATCTTATCTGTCAGAGCAAGAGAGGTCCGTTCATTCTCATCAGACTTGGTCTTACAGTGGCTGATCAAGAAAGAAATGTGATACCAAAAGTGTAGCTTGACTAAAGGATATTCATAAACACTTCTATAGACAGTTATAGGCCTAGCTCACAAAGATTTCAGTACATTCCTGTATAACAGGCTGGGCTAAAGATAGCGGCTGGTTGCGGCATCATAGATCTGTAATTAATTATACTGTAAAAGTTATGAAAGACAAGCCCACATGCCCGGAAAACCATAAATAAGAGAGCCACAAAAAACAACTTGATTTGTTAGTTTTTCCCAATATTGTACTTCTAAAACAGATTTAACCACACAAATTAGGCTTACATGAAAAGAGTTTAATCTGCAAATAAACTGGATATCACAAAAAGAGGTACAGCATGCAATGGCTGTTCAGACTGCTTCATATTTGATCCTCTAGTTTCTGGACCGACATACCAAATTGGTGTGACACGGAACAGCACGATGGCCTTTCTTCCATTGCATCTGCCCGTAAGGAAAACCAGTCATACTGCTGAGTGCAGTGTTTTTATAAAAAGACGAACACTATCTGATTTCTGTTCCATTCGTTTGCACAGCACACACATGACGGTTTGCATGGTGCGCCATAGAGTGTCTTATTTAAATGCAGTCACAACCTTGGCAGAATACTAACTTCTTAGGAGAGAATCCTTGCAATGTGAGCCTGTTATCAATTCCAAGCATAGCGACAGGGGCGGGGCGGGGTGGGGCGGGGCAGGGGGGGGCACAAATTGCCACAACAATTTGTAAAGCGGCCTGCTACCAAAGTGCAGTTGTGTGCTCTCAAGCATAACACAACACAACCACTGGGGCAAGCATACCACAACAATTTGCCCAGTTGTCCCTAAAAGTGCTTTCTTCACAAATCTAAATTTTTTAAATCAACTAGTGTACGTAAATTTAAAAAAAAAAAATCAAATCAAATAAAAGAACAGATGTATACGTGAGTGTGTGTGTGTGTATATCTGGTTAAGTGAGAGCACAGCAGTGTCCAAATTTCATAAGGCTATTATAGTGACACCTGTTTCTTTCTGACGTGCAATGGGAGATGTGTTGACACATTATGGAGCAATATGCTATGTAAACTTTACTTTATTACCTGAACCAACTGCTTAACAATAGATATTTTTAATTGATGGAACAACCATTTTAAAATTCTATCACCATGTTTTTTATGACCATGGAAACCTTGTATTAAGAGGTCACTGATTCTTGAGTAGTGAGAAGTTGAGGTATATTGAGTTATATGGGTCAACAACACCATCAGATGGCCAAAAACAACTGTCAAGTGTTTTTACAAACTAAAAGTACAGTGATAAAAGCAAAGGTCTACTGTTACATTTTTTACCTCTTCCCTCTCTAAACACAAATAAATGTTTCCTTCATATGTGTATAATATGCCATTAATATTTCTGTTTAATGTAGGCTATATGAAGTAGGCTATTGACTTCTGAGAACAGGTGGTTTTACAGGTGGTTGTTTGATGTTATATTTTGTATATAAACCCAATTTAATTGTTACTTTTAAACACAAATCTATTCTAATGATTGAAAGTAGGCTATAGCTAAATGTTGCTAAAGGCAGGTAAAGTTGTAGAACATCATGTCTGAAGAATTAGTGAGCTGCAGGAATCTGTAAACATTTATAACACGAGACAACGGCAGAAAATCAAATAGCTGGAGGTTAATGTTGAGTAACCATTACTTTAATTATTAACAATTACAACACCATGGTTTCACTGTAATACGCATAAATACCACACATTCGAACGTCATAGACTTCAAAGGAGTCCTGCGCTCATGTGAACAACAGAGTCTGTGTTTACATCTGTACAGAACACCCCGGATAATCCAATATGTAGCCTACTAAATAACATCTATTAAGATTTCAGGCCTCCAATGGGCAGACAGCGCTTCGATATCACATACCGGTAATTCAGTCAAGGTGACATTAGCAAACACCCTACATAGTGCACTGCTAGCGTAGCTAAAACAGTACGCAGGAAGCGCTGCATTTTATTTGACGCCGCTCGCGTGCAGACAGACAGCGTAGTCGATAACAATGGAAGCGCGCTGTAATTTCTATTTCCGCTATAATAAAACAGCAGCTAACTGCTTCCCAAGAATTGGCCAGCAAACAAGTCCTATAATCACATGCTATACGAACACTCACAGCACTGAACATTCATTTCCCTACTACACAGGCTGCTCACTGATGCCATGAATATTTCCGTACAAGCTTGTTGATGATGTAAGTTACACAGCGCATCACAACTACACAACCCACCGGAGATATATTCGCATATTCAGAGTGAGTAAGTTACTGAGTAGTGCTCATAAACTAACCTGACATCTGCAGACCATGTCAGCGTCCTGAGCCAGCAGGTCCACCACCTTTCCTTTCCCTTCATCGCCCCACTGCGCTCCGAGCACCACGGTCACTCTGTTGCCCACACTTGGGCTCGTCACCCGGCTCGTACTATCCTCGCCGTGGGATCCTCCGTCCTGTGACTGTGCATTCCCGCTGTCTGACATGACTGTATCCCCTCTGCTCTCCCTGCAGCTCCGCAATGCTCCTCCGACACACGAACAGTCGCGCACCTGAGTGAGACACCGAGGGCGGAGCACCGCTTGCGTACCAGCGTCTCCACGAAGTGGTTCTCTCACTGCAGAGCAAAATGACGTCCAGTCCCCCCTCTCTGGACGTTCACGATCTAATCTAGCTCCACCTCTATGGATCTAATGGGTGGAGGGATATAGTTATGGGCACTTGCTCTGGGGCCTGTTTTAGAAAGGAGGTTATTAAGTGAAAACTCTGAGTATGTTAACCCTGAAATGAGGCAAACGCCCTTAATTATGCAGAACTTTAAGCCTTAAAATAATTTAAACGGATGTTTACAGTTGTAAAAAAAAATTCTGCTGTAAAGTTGGGCATTTTAACATGGGGGAGATACAGATTTGACTCACTTTTGCACCCAGCCTCAAGCGGCCAGTCGATGAATTGCAGTTTAATTAACTTCCGTATTGGTTTCACGAGAGAGACGGGGAGGTTGCCGCTTGGTCAATACACAAGTATAATTCTTAATCATTGTTATATTATCAGGTTAAAACTGACAGAAAGGTAAGTTATTGAACTAATACTCATTTTCATGGTATCCCACAGACAAAAAAAAAAAAAAAAAATCTTGGCAGCAACTAAATATGAACAATAAATTCATAGCATAAAAGGTTCATGGCTGTAGGCTACATGACTTTACAAACATTTGACATATTAAATAAATATAATTCAGTGTCTATTTAAATGTATAGCTGTTTCCATATATAATGCTTTTAAATGTTCTCTAATCCAACCTGTTACATTTTTTTAAATTAACATTTGACTTCTTCTGGGCCAACAGCAAGAAGCCATAGGCTGGACCTGCACCACCACTGATAGATGAAGAGGAGATACACAATATTTAAATAATATTTAAATCCAACAGGAAAAACAATAACTGTTGCTTTTGTATTTGTAGGAAATAAAGATGACCAAATAAATTGTGAATAATTTGTGTGTATTTAACAGCTGTGGTGGGGGTACGGCATATATCTCGGACTATCCTTCCATCAGGCATCCTTCCATTCCATAGGCTACAGTAATCTGGTTCATTTTCGGTTCAATATGCATGTCATCAATTCATTGAAAATTCGAATTATTAGGCTACTTTCAGAGGTCACAGCAAGATGTTATCAAATGAACGTCGTTTATCAGATTAGCCTCATTTAAACTGGTTTCTCCACCACTGTCCTGCAATCCTGTGAAACTCCTCTTTGATGGATCACATGGGTTTGTGTCCAGGAAACAACACAAAAACTCTCAGAAAGAGCGTGAGAGCGAGGCACACTTTCCTTCCCGCTCGGATACAGCAGCCTTACTAATGTGCTCTCTCTGATGTTATATAGACAAATGTGCAATGAATGAATGTACTGCACTGCAAAAAATGCTTTTCTTACTTAGCATTTTTATCTTGTTGTTTCCAGTCAAAATATCTAAAGATTATTAAATCAAGATGCATTTACTAAAAGAAAAACTCTGGGTTTACGTAAGAAAACCTGCTCCCGACCACCAGGTTAGGTTCACAGAGTAAGTTACCATGGTAACATACCTCCCATTCTGAAACGGAAAACCCAGAGTTTCCTCATTTCAGGGTTAGCCTAACATGGGCTACTCAGAGTTGTCTTACGAGAGGTTCTCTCGTACTGCGTAATATCTTACGCTAGGGGAAAACCTCTTTTCCACGAGATATTGAAGCCAAAAATTATCCTTAATTTTGAATTAATGTAAAACGCGTTGCGGCAGCATGCAGACATATGTAAGGCGGCTCGCGTGCCTATTGGCTGTCCTGCGGCAACTGCAGCACCCTATTGAGAGAGGCCCTTGGTGACGTCAGATCCAATGGGGGCGCTTCGCACTACTTCCGCTATGCTCTTCGCACCGCGAAATCCGCTGCACAGGCGGGAACATGGCTTCTCTCACCGTTGCTGAGAGACACCTATGGCTGACGTTATCTGAGATGCCGGACGCGGAGCGCTCCGCGTTCCTCGACGCGCCCATCTCCCCAGCTGGCCTCTTGGATCATCCGTCAAAGATTTCGCGGATGGATTCGCTGAGGTTCAGAAGTCAGGGCAAATTGCCCTGACTAATTTGCCTTGTAAATACACCTCTGCTGTTTACAACCAGGATCTTAGCGATCACTGTCTTATTGCCTGTGTCCGTAATGGGACTGGGGTCAAACGACCACCCCTCATCTCTGTCAAACGCTGTCTAAAACACTTCAGCGAACAGGCTTTTTTAAATGATCTGAACGCTATTTCTTGGTTAAACATTAATCTTATTCCGTCAGTAGAGGGCGCTTGGCTGTACTTCAAAAGTGAATTTCTCTCTGTTTTAAATATGCATGCCCCTTTTAAAAAGTTCAGAACGAAAGATAGATATAGCCCCTGGTTCACCACAGAACTGACCTCCCTCAATCAACATAAAAACTTTCTGTGGCGTACCGTGCTAGCCTCAAACAAGCCCAGCGATATGCAACTTTTTTATAAAGCCAGAAACAGATATACTCAGGTAGTTAGGGAAGCAAAGGCTCACTTCTTTAAAAATAAATTTGCTTCCTGTCACACCAACTCTAAAAAGTTTTGGGACACTGTTAAAACTCTGGAGAACAAGGTTATCTCCTCCAAACTTCCTAGAGCCCTAAAATCAGATAATATTGTTACTACAGATAAGGTTAAGATTTTAGAAAATTTTAATAAGCATTTCGCTGAAGCCGGCCACGCCTTTCATCGAGATACTCGCCCTAAAGCTAGCTGTTCTACAACCACAACGCCCCCGTGCCCAGCCCCTTCCACACACTTTTCCTTTACTTTTATTCAGACAGCCGATGTATTGAAAGAATTGCAAAACCTGGATCCATACAAATCAGCTGGGCTGGATAATCTGGATCCTTCATTTTTAAAATTATCTGCAAATATTATTGCTGCCCCCATCACCAGTTTATTTAACCTATCTCTCTTATCTTCGGAAATCCCAAGAGATTGGAAATCCGCCGCAGTCATTCCCCTGTTCAAACGGGGAGACACTCTTGATCCTAACTGCTACAGACCAATTTCCATCCTACCCTGTCTTTCCCAATCCCACCGCATTCTTTCCACTATGCAGTCTGGTTTTCGTGCTGGTCATGGCTGTACCACGGCTACCCTAAAGGTTTTGAACGACATCATAGCCGCCATGGATAAAAAGCAATATTGTGCAGCCGTCTATATCGATCTGTCCAAGGCTTTTGATTCGGTTAATCACCGTGTTCTCATTGGCCGACTCGATGGCCTGGGCTTTTCCCATGACTGCCTCGCCTGGTTCTCCAACTATCTCGCCGATATAGGGTCCAGCGTGTTAAATCGGAGGGCCTGTTGTCGGGACCCATGCCTGTCTCTATGGGGGTGCCGATTCTCGGGCCGACTCTATTTTCCCTCTACATCAACGATGTGGCTCTCGCTGCTGGTGACTCTCATATCCATCTTTATGCAGATGATACCATCCTGTACACGTCAGGCTCTTCGTTAGATACTGTGCTCAAAAATCTCCAGGAGAGCTTCAATGCCATTCAACATTCCTTTGGAAACCTTCAGTTACTACTAAATTCTGGTAAAACTAAGTGTATGCTTTTCAAGCAATCACTGCCAACACCTGCCTGTCTACCTAGCATCACCATGCTGGATGGGTCTGAACTTGAATATGTGGATACATATAAATATCTAGGTGTCTTGTTAGACAGCTCTCTCTCCTTCCAGCCGCACATTCACAAATTAAGATCTAAAATTAAATCTAGAATCTGCTTTCTCTTCCGCAATAGGGCATCCTTCACTTATGCTGCCAAACTTGCATTGGCGAAAATGACTATCATTCCAATGTTTGACTTTGGTGATGTCATCTATAGAACTGCCTCAAATTTTCTGCTGAAAAAACTGGACGTGATTTATCATAGCGTCATACGTTTTGTCACAAATGCCCCTTACAACACCCACCATTGCAACCTCTATGCATTAGTCGGTTGGCCGTCTTTACCTACTCGGCGTTTAACTCACTGGTATCAACTTATTTATAAGTCTCTGCTTGGCAAAGTTCCCCTGTACTTAAGCTGTCTAGTTACCATTGCTCTACCCACTCGCAGTTTACGATCTAGTAGGTATATCGCCTTAGTCACTACGAAAGCCTGCACAACATTCGGCCGCCAATCCTTCCAGTTTGCAGCCGCCGATGATTGGAATGCATTACAAAAAACCCTAAAACTTGAAACACTCATATCACCAGCTGCTTTTAAATTACTCCTCTCTGAACAATTGTCCGATTTATGTACCTGTCCGAATTATTGTATATCCAGTATATACAATAATTCTTTATTATTGTATATCCAGTAAAATTGTTATATATATTTTTTGTACTTTGTATTTTTAAAATATTTTTAAATATATTTTCTAGTGCCTTAGCTATGCTGCTCAACAGGATTCATATACACCTTATTCTGTTTTCTTGACCCTGTACTGCTGTATTGTGTTTCACATTGTGTTAATTTGTAACTGCACTTCTGTGTCATGTGTACTTATTATGTAATTCTATGTTGTCTTGCACATTTATTCGCCTTATCTTGGCCAGGTCGCCGTTGTAAATGAGAATTTGTTCTCAATCGGCCTACCTGGTAAAATAAAGGTAAAATAAAAAAATAAAAAGAAGACGTTACAGGCCATGAAGCACTTCTTACCAAAGCGCTCTAGCTTCGCAGCAGATCGCTCAAAATAGCCATCTGCTCGAAGCTCCCAGCCACAGCCTCCGCCCGCCGCCGCTTCACAGCGCCGTCAAGCCCGGGACCAGAGAACACGCTCTCGCTCTGCCGGCCGCCGCCCCCCCCGATGGTGTTATGAGTGTAATAAAAATGCCCACAGCCCAGTGTTCATTTCTACACACAAACACAGCCCACCACAGTACAGGGCTCGCACAAATAAAATCGACTCATGTCAATTGTGCATTAAATGTAGTGAATGTGCCCACAACCCAGTGCCCACAAACACTACACACTGCATGTCCCGCGGTTTCTGTAAAAACAAAACCAACACGCATACAGTCTGCTAAA